ACCCAGGACCTTTCAGTCCGCAGGCCAACGCTCTATCCACTGAGCCAAACCGGTCCCAGCTATCTCTTCTTTTGGAGAATTCCATCTCTTCCTCTTTTTAGAATTCTCTTGTTCTTTTGTTTGGCTGTTATTTTATTTTATTTTTTTGTCTCCCCATTTTGGTTGCTTGTTGGGTTTGTGACTATATAAGTAGGTAGATCTGCTGTGCTTCCCAATCTCTGTTGCAAGACAGTGTCAGATGCTATTTCTGTCTGGCCCTGCATACCTTGTTTGGAGCTATCAGCAATCCAAAGCCTGTGTCTCCCTTTGCTGGGGCTGGGTGCCTTTGGAAAGAATCAAGATGTGCACCAAGGTCTGCTTTACCTAGCAGGGGCAAGGCATTTTTCAATAGGATGTGGCAGCTGCCTTTCCCCCAGGCAAAAACCACTTGGATAGCAAAGGTTCACCGGAGACAGATGCCCTCTGTAGCGTGAGGCAATGACTTAGCTCAGGAAATCCAGATGACTGCCTTCAGAGGTCTAATCCCAGAGCCCCCAATCTTGGCTTCTGCTCACACAGCACTAGTCCACTCTGTGGCCCCACTGTCAGAGCCCAAGGTGAGTGGCTGCACATGAAATTTTGTGTTGGTCCTTTTAGAGGATGCCTGACTTTCCAACTGTCTCTCTCTGGCAGACAGCTATTCACAGCCAGAATTATATTGGTACCTTTCTCAGTTCTGGTGTTCTGAGCTGGGGAGCCCAGCTTGGGGTTTAGACTCCAAAGTTCTCAGTGGGAACGCCCTATAGCTGAGATATCCTTCAGGAACTTTAGCTGCTGTCGGTGGGAGTTCCAGCCAGCCCTTTCGTGCCTCTGCACTTCCTACCAGCCTCTGTGCGGTCTCTACTTTCCATCCGTGGTTATCTAGTCTTCAGTTGATTATTCAGGATGGTTTTTCAATATTTTAGTTGTAATTCCAGTTTGGTTCTGGGAGCTTATCAGTGTAGCATCCACTTACTCTGCCATCATTTTGGAATCTCCTCTCTCTTCGTTGATGAGTCTGGTTAAAGGTTCATTGATCTTGTTTATCTTTTTTTAAAGGTATGTTTTATTGATTTTAGAGAGTGGAAGGGAAAGGAAGAGAGGGATAGAAACATCAGTGATGAGAATCATTGATCACCTGCCTCCTGGATACCTCTGGGGATTGATTGAGCCCACAACTTGAGCATGTGCCCTGACAGGGCATCGAACCATTTGGTTCATGGGTTGATGCTCAGCCACTGAAGCACACTGGCCAGACTTGTTTATCTTTTAAAAAAACCAATTCATGGTTTCATTGATCTTTTGTATTGTTTTATTTTTTAGTTTCTGTATCATTTATTTCTGTATTATTTTAGTTTCTGTATCATTTATTTCTGCCCTCATCTTTATTATTTCCTTCCTTTTATTTATTTGGGCTTCATTTGTTGTTGTTGTTTTAATGTTGGGTTAGAATGGTTTATTTGAGATTTTTCTTATTTCTGCAATGCTGTGAACTTCCCTCCCAGGACTGCTTTCCCTGTGTCCCATGGATTTTGGGTTGTTATGCATTCATTTTCATTGGTTTCCAGGTAATTTTTCTTTAAAAAAATTTTTTTTTCCATTGTTGATAGTTACCATAAATGTGAAGGCTTATGTCTAGACTGTCAATTATGTTACAAAGATTTATAGGGCTATACTAACAGAACCACCATTATACTGCATTTTACATTATATGTCTGGCATATAATAAGTCTTCATAATTTGAGTTAAATTGAAATTGAATTGGCTAGATATTAAATTTTAAAATCTGTGGGGTATGTTTGCATGTGTTTGCTTAATTCCTTCATGTTCTTTCATTCAACTCCCAAAGCCCTTCCCTCTGACAGCTGTCAGTCTGTCAATATAACCATGCCTTTGTTTCTATTTTGTGGAACTGCAGTCTTTAAGGAGATGAAATCCAGCGGCTAATTAATTGCCATTATCATGCTATTCCTTCCACAGATGCTCAGCAGTATTTTAAGCACATTGTTTTAAAATGCAATCTTATTGGAATGTACCTGAATTATTTTTCAAGCAGTAGCCTTAGTAGACTTAGACTCATGGGCAAATTTATTTAACTTTCCTGAGGCCATGATTATTTTGTGGGAAGATAATTCTTTTTCTATCAACCTCTTATAGCATTGATGAGATTCAAATAAAGTAATGCTTGTGTAAGTTCTTTGCAAAATAGAAAGTGCTGTATAAAATTTTAAATGTCATTTTGTGTATTAAACACTGATACATAAATTTTTTCTCTATTCTATTTTTTAACAATGTGAAGGGAAAAGAATGAACAGTCATTGAACTGTTGGGTTTATTTGCTCACAAATTTAATTAAGATGGATAAAATTAGGACTTTCATAGCTCAAGAATGTAGGACATAGGTGGAACCATTGAGAGTAACATTTTCTTTAGTCCCTGACTTCAAAACAGTAATTTGGAGAGTCAATGCTACTTTTCTTGAAGAATATGTAAATTTTATAATTTTACATAATTGAATAGATGTGATAAAATTTTATCTCTATGATTAATGTCCATAATTTATGTAAAATTATTTTAAAATGCATTGTAAAAGATTAAGTGATATAAAACTATAGTAATCAAGCCAGTGTGTTATGGTGTAATGGTAGACATAAAGTCTGACAGAATTCAGACTCCAGAAAAGAAATTCTTACAGTTATTTAATTAATTTTGAATAAAGATGCCAAAAGAATTCAGTGGAGAAAGAATAATCTTTTCAACAGATGCTGCTGTATATCCATATGAAAGAGAATGAACTTATTGGGGTGGTGAACACACAATGCAGTGTACAGTTGATGTGTTGTAGAATTGTACACCTGAAGCCTGTATAATTTTGTTAACCAGTGACCCCTTCTTCACACCATGCACAGAAAAATAACTGAAAATGGATTACAGACCAAATGTAAGAGCTAAAACGAAACCTCTTAGAAGAAAATAAAGGAGTAAATCTTTCTGACCTTGAGTTATACAATGGTTTTGTGGATAAATTGGACTTTGTAAACATTAAAACCTTTTGTGATACAAAGGACACCTTCAAGAATGTGAAAAGAGAAGCCACAGATGGGAGAACATATATGCTAATCATATATTTGATAACAGATTTTTATCTAGAATATATAAAGAACTCTTAGAATGCAAAAATAAAAGCAACCCAATTAAAAAGTGGGCAAAGCATCTGAGTAGACATATTCCAAAAAGATGCAAATGTCCAATAAGCACACGAAACAATGCATCAGAGAAATGTAACTCGAAATCATAATGAAATAGCTCTCCACAGCTACGCTAGTGGCCTAGTAGCTTAGTTGGTTAGAGCATTATCCTAATAGGCCAAGATTGCAGGTTTGATCCCTGGTTCAAGGCACATACCAGAATCAACCAGTGAATGCTTAAATAAATGGAACAACAAATAGGTATTTCTATCTTTCTCAAAAATCAATCAATAAATAAAAAAGACAGCCTTGACTGGGTGGCTCAGTTGGTTGGAGCATTGTCCTGTACACCAAAAGGTTGGGGGTTTGATTGCTGGTCAAGGCATAGACCTAGGTTGAGGGTTTGTTCCTGGTCTGGATGAGTACAGGAGGCAACCAATTGATGCTTCTCTCTCACATCAATGTTTTTCTTTCTCCCCCCCCTTCCGTTCTCTCTAAAAATCAATAAAAATAGCACTGGCTTGGGTTTCATTTCTATCAAAGGCACATGCAGGCTCAATCCACAGTAGGGGTCATGCAGGAGGCAGCCCATCAGTGATTCTTTCTCATCATTGATGTTTTCTATTTCTTTCTCCCTTTCTCTTCCTCTCTGAAATAAATAAATATATTTTAAAATATCAATAAAAATATAAAATCATATCACTGGGTGAGGATTTTAAAAAATGATAACAAGCCAGGACCGGTTTGGCTCAATGGATAGAGCATCGGCTTGGGGACTGAAGGATCCCGGGTTCGATTCCGGTCAGGGGCATGTACCTTGGTTGCGGGCATATCCCCAGTAGGGGGTGTGCAAGAGGCAGCTGATCGATGACTCTCTCTCATTGATGTTTCTGACTCTCTATCCCTCTCCCTTCCTCTCTGTACAAAAATCAATAAAATATATTAAAAAAAAAAAAAGATAACAAGTGGTGAGAATGCTTTGAAAAATTATCTGGTAAATCCTCAAAAGATTAAACATAGAGTTACCATATGTCTCATCAATTTTATTTCAAGGCATATACCTAAGATAATTGAAAACCTGTCTATACAAAAACTTGAACATAAATATTTATAACAGCATAATTCATAATAGCAAAAAATGAAAACAATCCAAATGTTCATCAACCAATGAATAGAAAAATAAAATGTAGTGTATCCATCATTGAGATATTATTTGACAATAGGAATGAAGTAGTGATAGATGCTATAATAATAGATGAATCTCAAAAACATTTTGCTAAGTGAAAGAAGCCAATCACAAAAGACCACATATACCGATATATGATTTCATTTATATCTAGATGTCTAGAATAGGCAAATCTATGCACACAGAAAGTAGTCTTGTTTAGGAGACAACAGAGACAGGAGTTATTAGAAGGAAATGGGGAATGACCACCAATAGATTCAGGGTTTCTTTTTGGGTGGTGAAAATTATAAAATTGTGGCTATGGTTGCACAACTCTGTGAGCATATTTAAAACCATTGAATTGTGTACATTAAGTGGGTAAATTGTATGGTATATGGATAAAACATTTTTTAATCAAGCAATATCCAACACAAAAATTATTAAGAAGTAAGAAAACATTTTAAAATGTGTCTCTACTGTTTTATCTTCTAAAGATAGAGGAGAATTAAATAGTTGATTGTCTCTTTGTTACCCTTTTTCTTTCCTTCTCCTTCTAGGGGCTGAGTAGGCTTATTAAATGCATATACCTTTGTGTTGAATGATAGTAAATCACAATTCATTTTTGACAGGAATTGAGTTCTTCTCAGACTTTAACACATGATGGAGGATTCTTCAATAGACTGGAAGATGATGTTCATAAAATTCTTATTAGAGAAAAAAGAAGAGAACAGCTTACAGAATATAATGGAACAGATAATTGTGCAGCTCACGAACACAACCAGGCATGTAAAATAGAAAATTCTCTTATAATCACAATAAAACTAAAATATATTTTTCTTTTTTAAAAAACAGAAGCAGTGGAATCCAATTATGATTCTAATAAGGTATAGCTATAGGATTTGTCTTAGTTGTAGATGTTTATATTAAAAAATGTGAAGTACTTCATTCATTGATGAATATTTATTGAGCATGTGCTATATGCTAGGTAATATTAGGCTCCAGTGGAGGGGAGTAGGAATACCAAGATGGATAAGACACAGTGCAGATTGGAGGAGGTAGACCTGTAAAAATAATATCTTTCAGCATTATGAAGACTTTAATAGAAATATGAACAATAAAGAGGTTTTGAATAGAAAAGATAATTGATAACTTTGGTAAACTGTGAAAGGTACATAAAGAAGTGACACTTGGGCCCAGCTGGTGTAACTCAGTGGTTGAACATTAAACCAAGAACCAAGAGGCCACTAGTTTGATTCCTAGTCCGGGCATGTGTCCAGATTGTGGACTTGGTCCCCTGTGGAAGGTATGCAGGAGACAGCTAATCAATAATATTTCTTTCTCATCAATGTTGCTATCCCTCTCCCTTCCTCTCTATCTCAAAAAGTCAAGATATATTATTTAAAAAAGTGACATTTGGAATGGACTTTGAATGATGAATAAATAACTATGTAAGCTGAGAATTGGAGAAAGCATAGGGAACTACAAGAACAAAGGCTCAGAGTTTTGAAAGGCTTTAAACTAAATATTCATGATACTGAAAAATTCTGCATCTAAGAAGTACAGAGGTCTGTTTATGTAAAAATAAGTTAGAATTTTATCTTGTAGACCAGGGTTGCATACTATGGCTCACAAATCAAACCTGGTTAGTAGCCTGTTTTTATAAAGCCCACAAGCAATGATATTCGCTTTTTTATTTTTTACCTTTATATTGAATTTATTGGGGTTCCAGTAATTAATAAAATTACACAGGTTTCAGGGGCACAATTCCACAACACATCATCTGTACACTGTGTTGTATGTTCACTACCCCAAGTGAAGTCTTTGTCCATCACCATTTATCCACTCTATACCTTTACACCTTACCCACCCCCTCCCTCTCCTGGCAATCAACACACTGTTGAATTTTTTCATTTTTGCTCAATCCCTCCACCCCCCACTAGTTTCCTACACTCTTCCCCCCCCCGCCCCCCCCCCTCTGGGCTGTCAGTCTGCTCTCTCTATGAGTTTGTCTCTATTTTTCTTGTCATTCACATTTTTAAAATATTGTTTTTTTAAAAAGTATCTCGCCTGTCCAGGTTGCTCAGTTGGTTGGAGCATTGTCCTATATACCAGAAAGTTGCAGGTTCGATTCCTGGTCAGAACCACATACCTACTAGGTTTCGGGTTGGATCTCTGGTTGGATGTGTATGGAAAGCAGCCAGTGGATATCTCATACCCCACCGCCTCCCTCTCTCTCTTTCTCTCTCCCCCCCCACACCTCTCCCTTTCTACCTTCCTCTCTCCCTCCCACCCTTTCCTCCCCCCTTCCCTCTAAAATCAATAAAAACATATCTTCAGTGAGAATTTTTTGAAAAAAAATATTTCGTTGTATAGAGACCTATAAATGTTTCTAATGACTAGTGTTCTATCTTACTTTCTCTTAAACTGTGAACCTGTTCTTTATCTTATGTGTGAACACTTTCCCCTTCCTTTCTTGGTTTTGTTTTACACCCTGCAAGAACAAGTCCTTAAATTATGAAAGGCCTTAGTTAGACTGAATATTCAGGAAACTGAAAAATTCTGCACACAATTGTGTGTTCACCACCCCAACACATCATCTGTATACTGGATTGTATCTTCACCACCAGCATTAATTTTTGGTCTGTCAGGTATTGCTGAAAAACAATGCTAATGTTCTGTTCTCAAAATCATTGCTGTCTAACTTTTACCGTATCCTCATTTCTACTTAACAGTCTTTTGATTCATTTCTTTCTTTCTTTTTTTTTTTTTTAATATATTTTTATTGATTTTGTACAGAGAGGAAGGGAGAGAGATAGAGAGCTAGAAACATCGATGAGAGAGAGTCATCGACCAGCTGCCTCTTGCACACCCCCTACTGGGGAAATGCCCGCAACCAAGGTACGTGCCCTTGACCGGAATTGAACCCGGGACCTTTCAGTCCCCAAGCCGATGCTCTATCCATTGAGCCAAACCGGTCTCGGCTGATTCATTTCTTTCTAACTTTGACAAACACTTACCCTATTTCCCCAAAAATAAGACAGTGTCTTATATTAATTTTTGCTCCAAAAGATGCGCTAGGTCTTATTTTCAGGGGATGTCTTATTTTTCCATGAAGAAGAATATGGTACACATTTATTGTTAAATGAAAATAAAGGAAATTTATTACCTGTATACGGTACGGTAGTACGGTAGTTGTCAACACAAACCAGACAAACTGTGAATCCTACAGTATCAAGAATTTACTCATTTATTCAATGACAATCATGTCATCATCTTCAGGAACATCATCATAACAATCCAATTCCTGAATTTCCTGGTGAATTTCTTGTGACTCCATTTCTTTCAGAACCTGTGGACCAAATCTCTCATGTTTAGCCTAGGGGGGGCCTTATTTTCGGGGGGGATGCCTTATATTTCACTCAGAAGGAAACCTGTAAGTAGGTCTTATTTTCGGGGAAACACGGTACAGAGGCTATTTAAATTCTAAAACTTTGTTTTCCATCATGTCATTCTCTTCAATAGATGCTATCTCTTTGTTTCCTAAGATTGATAAATACAATTATTCCACGAATTAAACATCTATTTTGTTTTATAGGATACAAAACGTCAGGTCCTTAAGAATTATTTACTCCAAAGAAGTAGTAAGATTGGTTAATAACATTAACATAATTCCATATGAAAATCTATTTCAACTTAGTAGTGGGTAATCCTTGCTTGCCCTTGAAGTACTTGTTTGTTCTTTTCTGGCATTGATTTAATGTTTTCCTGTTTTGCCTTGACTATCAAAGTTTATGTACAGTCCAAGCAACCATGTTAACATATATGGCTAGCATATTTGCCTCCTTTTTTATTGACTATATATGATTTTCCCCTTTGTGGTCCATATCTTCTTATTTTTAAAGCTATTTCAGATAATTTTTAAATGTTATTCTTTTTTTGTTGTTTAAAGTATTACAAATAGTACATATGTCTCCTTTTTTCCCCACACTGACCTTCCCCTAGCCTCCCTTATCCTCTGGCTCAGATAATTTTTTGATAGAATGACATTAATATATTTAGACAAATAGATATCTTAAACCCTTTGTAGAACTAAATTGGGTATGTATGTTTAGTTAAACGATTAAGTAATATTAATGACTTAATAAAACCACAGGAGAGTGCAGTATGGTAGGAAGGAAAGTCTTTGAAATTAAACAAACCTAGTAACACAAGATATAGCTTCTGAAGCTTATCAGTTGTGTTACTTTGGGATGAAATTATTTGTCTTTCATGTACTGTTAGGAAAATTAGCAATTATGAATCAAAATGTTAGAGCCATGTACACAGTCCATATTTAATAGATAATTATTTTTGTACAAGGTAGAAAATGATAATTCCAAAAAAAGGATATACTTGGTAAAGTGTGATAGTAATTGACATGAATGGAGATTAGCGATAACTTTCTTAGAAGAAAATAGCTTTTGAATTAGAATTTAAAAGACAGTAGAATTTGAACATGCAGAGGTAAGAGAGAGGAAACTGGAATGCTATGAGTAAAAGTATTGAGGCAATGAAGTATCAGGTAAGTTGGGTAGGGCAGGTTGTAAAAGATTAGGGAAAATTTAAAGGCCAGATTTATGACTTAGCTAGTAAAGAATATTTGAAGATTTTCAGTGTAGAGCAAGCATATATATAGTAATATTAATTTCCACTGCATTTGCTATGAAAAACTGAATGAAGGTGAGGACTGGTGATAGGGATTAGACAGATAATACTCAATATTTTTATGGGTATAGAAGAACAGTAACTAATACATTAGTGGTAGTATAAATTGTGTAACTGTTTTTGGAAATCAATTTGGCATTAACTTTAAAAGTTGAAGATGATGGGCAGACTATATGTTCTAGAAATTCTACCCTAGGTTAAACTTTAGAGACATGTTCAAGAATAATGTTGAAAACTCAGCTGTTTGTAATAACAGAATAAATAAGAGAAATTAATGACAGCTATACTTAGCAACATGGATGAATATAAAAAATGTTTAATTAAAAAAATAAGGTCACCCAATAAGAATTGTTTGATGCCATTTATATAAGTTTCAAAAAATAGAATATTTTAGGTGTGTGTGTGTGTGTGTGTGTGTGTGTGTAGTGAAAGACTAACAGGAAGAGAATGACAAAATTTGTAACAGGAAGGGAGGGGTAGGGATATGACTGGGGAGAGGTACATAGGGGATGCCAAAGTATGGTAATGTCCAAATTCCCCCCCCCCCCATTAAATTTATTGGGGTGACATTATATGGGTTTTAAATGCACATTTCTATAATACATGACCTGGATATTGCATTGTGTGCCCATCACAAAATCAAATCTACTTCTATAACCATATATTTGACCTCCTTTATTCTCTACTACCTCCTCAACACCCCACCCCCTCTCTCTGGTAACTACTATACTGTTCTTTGTGCCTATGAGTTTTTGTTTGTTCTTGTATATTCATTTGTTGTTCTCAGTTTTATATCCCACATATAGTGAAATCAAATGGTTCTTCACTTTTTCTGACTTCTTTCATTTAGCATGACATTCTTAAGAGCCATCCACATTGTTGCAAATGGCAGTATTTCATCTTTTTTGATGGCTGAGTAGTGTCCCATTGTATATATGTACCACATCTTTATCTAGTCATCTATTGAAGGACACTTGGGTTGTTTCCATGCCTTGTCCACAGTGAATAATGCTGCAGTGAACATAGGGTGCATATATCACAGCTGCCTTTTTAAACTGTGACCTTCTAGTTCATGGGCCAAAGTTCAACCACTGAGCCACACAGTCTGGGCTAGAGGTGCATTTATCTTTGCAAGTAAAGGTTTTCAAATTTTTTGGGTAGGTACCATGAAGAGAGGTTGCTGGGTCATATGGTAACTCGCTTCTTAATTTTTTGAGGATCCTCCATACTATTTTCATTGTTTAAATTCCTAATCCGCATATTGCATTTTTTCTTTTATCTTAACCTAAATGATTCATATATATATATATATATAGATATAGATATAGATATAGATATATATAAATATATATATCTCTATATATATTTTGCATGTGTGAAATTTTTATAATTAAACAAATTAAGAATTTCTCATGTCATTGAGTATAATAGGAGAAAAAGATAAGGCTATTTAAAAAAAATTTTTTTTTTTTTTTTTTTTTTTACTTCCTTCCTCTCCCCATTGTACTCCTTTTTCAGAGAAAGAAAGCTCTTCTTTTTGCCCAGGTTAAAATCCTTTTTTTTTTTCTGTACAACCCTAATTTGGCCATTTTTAACACAACATTTGACTTCATTTTTTAATATTCTTTTTGTATGAGAATGCCTCATGTATAGGTATCTAAAAATAATTGTAACAGTAAGTAATATAGTTTCATAACCCTTTTGTAAACCATGCTTTATATTTTGTCAAATCAGCGTGCTGTAATTACAGCTTGGTCAATATTCTATTATTGAACATTTAGGTTGTTTAGAATTGGTCACCTGATATTTTTTTAACATCTTTATGTATTTAATTCTTTGATGAGTTATTTTCTTGGAATAAATTCTTAAAAATAGCAAATTAGTCAAAGGATATAAACATCTGTGTTGCTCTTGATGCATAACAACATTGTCTTCTATTGACTGGAAGTTTTCTCCTCAACTTCACTGGAATTGGGTAGATCATCCATTCCTGATCCCATTCACTTTATGGCTTTTAGGTGTCTGTTTTAGTAATTGTCCTTATGGCATATTTCATTCTTATTCTGTGGATATCTTATACTCACTGTGTGCAAACTTATGCTCATCTCCAAACCAAGTGTTTGGCTTGACTTCTATCATTTTTGTTTTTATCATTTGATCTAGTTACCCAGACACTGAACTTCTTTTTTCACTTTTTTGTTCTTCCAGGCTTTGGAGTTTTAATTTTTGAAATATTTTTCAAAACTGTCTTCTTTTCCATGTCCTTAAACTTCATTGTTTCTTGAATCAAGTATAGCAAGTTATTGAATAACATGTTTTCGTTCATTTTAACAGTAACATGATGCCATAGGAACTTAATTGGTTTTGTTATACATCATTTTGAAACTTGCAGAACCTATCCATGACTTTAAGTGAGGACTTTAATATCAGTGTCCTTGACCTGATATTTTTTAAGTCCTCAGCTGTGCTTTTCAAACTGAGTCTCAACTCATTTAACAGGTTTTGAAATCAGTTTTTGTAGACTGCTACCAGCATTTGCAAAAACAAAAAATGTCAGAGTATGTACCCATATTTTATGAAATTTGTTTCTGTGTATATTTTGTTTTGGCCTTTATTTTCTACGGATATATATACTTTTTCCTCCCAGTAATGTAGAAACTGTTATATGGACCACATTTTAGTTAAATGCAGATGGTGAGCCTTTCAGGTCATTAATAATTTTTGAACATGAAATAGTTGAATTTTTAATAACTAAAATGTTTTCAGTTATCCCCACAGAGAAAAAATATTTAATGTACCAGTTTATATATAATATTTCTGGCTTATTATTGAGATTATACATTTGTTCATGTTTTTTTGCTCATACACCTGTCATATGGATTGTGACTTATTTATCAGATATTTATCTTTTGATTTTGTTACAGTATTTTTAGAAAATTTTTTTAGCAAGTTAAACTATTAATCTTTTTCTTTTAGTTTTCTCCCTTTGGTATGTTCAGAAGGGCTTTTCTATTAAAAAATGATACATATTCATATTCATCTATATACCAGTTTAATGCTTATGTGGTTTAATTTTTCAAAATCAAAATAGTATTTTATATTGTTAAATAATTATATACTCAATATAAAAATTTTGATAAAATAATTTTTAAATGAAGTGAAAATACTAGTATTTCATATATAATGTCCTAAGAGAATTATTAAAATTTTATCTTATGTCCTCCCTGCACTTTTCCTTGCATGTAGCATTACAGTTGAGTTCATGTTAATGTATTTTATAGTGTATATTATTATTTTTAGTGATTTCAAAGTTTCACAGTTTTAAAAATTTACTATAAAGTTAGTCTATATTCTATGGTTGGGCATTTAAATTGATGTCCAATTTTTTGTTGTAATAAATCACAGTAAACACTGATAGATACACTTCCCGTCATTTAGAAATATAGAACACTGATAGATACACTTCCCGTCATTTAGAAATAATCAAAATTAGAAATATACTTAATAATATGTATATTTCTAATTTTGATCCACCCATCTTATTCCTTAAACTAGAAACTTGAAGTGTCCATTTTTCTCCACTATTGCATTTCAACCTCTCATCAAATTCTTTTGATTATACTTTTACATAATTTCTTATGTAATATACTTTTTTCCATTTAAACTGCTTCTACCCTAATCAAAGGTATAATCTTCTCTGACCTGGACTTTCAGTAGCAGTTAAAGGTCTTTCCACCTGTCCTACCCAACTCTAATCCATTTTCCATAGTCATCCTTTAAAAATATAACATAAATCTTAATAATCCTGCTCAAAACCCTTCACTGCTATTTTATTCAGAATGTGCAAGCGATTCTTATTGCTACAAGGCCCTGCAAGATCAAGCCTCTATCTGTTTTTCCAAAATCATCATGTACTATCTTCCTCACTAAGCTCTAAACCACTGGCCTCTTTTTTCTTCAGATTCTTGGCTCTTTACTATCATAGGGTTTTAAACATACTATTCTTTCTACCTGGAAATCTCTTACTTCTTTTTATTTTATTTACCCATCCTCACCTAAGGATATATTTACTGATTTTAGAGGGAGAGGAAAGTGGGGGAGAAGGAAGAGAAGAAAAGAGATGAGAAAAGAGGAGAGACACACATTGATGTGACAGAGAAACATCAGTTAATTGCCTCCCGTATGTGCCCTGACTAAGGATCAAAACCCGCAACGAGGTGTGTCCTGACCAGGAATTGAACTTGCAGTCTTTTGGTGTACAGGACAGTACTTCAACCAACTGAGCCACTTGGCCAGGGCTTCAAGCTTTTTTTTTTTTTTTTTTTTTTTACATCTGCCTCTTGCAACAGACTAGCCTTATCAGGGCAATAATCTTTTCAGTTCTGTTTACTGTTGCATACCCAACACCCAGCAGCAGTTAGGTGCTCAGTGAGTATTTTTAGAATAAGTTAGTGTTTTCACATACTCATTAGATAAATAGAACCAATTTTTATTATTATCAAAAATATAACTTAGGATTTTTTTTTTTTTGCATTTGAATTTGTTTATTTTGTAATATGGTACAAGATGAAGGACTTAACTTGTTTTCCCAGTTAGCGATTTGTCTTGTAATTTACTATTCTGTGCTTCAGCCTTTTTTCACTTTTTAAAAATACTATATTTATATTCCAATAAATTCTTATGTCTTAAACCTCTTTTTGGACTTTATTTTTTGTTACAGTACTGTCAACCTAGGTGCCATGACTATGCTACTTTAGTTAAGTTCCAAGGTACAAAATCTCATTGGAATTTCAAGATAAATTGTATTGAATTTACAAAGTAATATATTTAGTAATATTTAGTCTTCCTATCTACTGACATACTTTGCTCTATGTCCTTTTCAGTATTTTGTAATTTTTTTAGTGGATCCTGAAAATTTCTGAATTTTATTCTTGGGGATATTTTCTATTGCTATTGGGAGACAATGGTTTTTCTAAGTTATATCTTCTGTCTACTAATTGATACAGAGCAAAGCTATTTATTTTCTTGTTTTGTTATTTATTTTGTGTTTTTTCTCCTAAGTTTTCAATTCTTTTGGGTCTTAAAGATAGACTAATAATTCGTCACAGAGCACTTTTGGTATATTTATTCATAAATACATTATTTCAAAGCCTTGATATTATTCTAGGGTATGTTTGTAGCTGAGATTAATCATAAATATCTTATTTGCTTGCATTGTATATAATTAAAATCGTATCATTGAATAGAAGTGGAAATGCAGTCAACAATTGAAGGTTGCTGTGTAAAATGAATTAAAATAGAGAAAATTGGAACTTTTTTTTATCTTAAACTTTTTACTAATGAATATTGTAAACCAGAATTAGCAGGCTATCTTAGTTCTAAAATAGAGTTTTTCTCTCTTCAGGAAGTAGTTTTGAAAGATGGAAGAATTGAAAGACTAAAGTTGGAACTTGAAAGAAAAGATGCTGAAATCCAAAAGCTGAAAAATGTGATCACTCAGTGGGAGGTTTGTGTTTATTTACTGTTTTATACTAGTAATCTACACATTTTCTGTTTTTCTTATATTTAATGTTGGATTAATAGAATGTTTCTGCTTTGGTTTTTAAATGTTATAAAATTAGAATGATAATTTATGTTAAAATATAAATAACATTAAATTAGCCATTTAAACCATTTTAATGCTATAATTCATTAGCATTAGGTACCTTCATACTATATAGTTATCATCAGTGTTTCCACAGTTTTTTCATTATTCCAAACAAACTCAGTATCCATTAAACAGCTCCCTATTTCCTCTTTCCCTGCAGCCTATGGTAATATGTAGTCTCTATGATTTTGCTTCTTCCAGGAACTTCATATAAGTGGAACACACAATATTTGTTCTAGTGTATATGGCTTATTTCACTTTGCATAATGTTTTCAAGGTTCATTCATGTTTTAACATGTGTCAGAATTTAATTCTTTTTTATGACTGAAAAATATTCCAGTATATGTATATACCACATTTTGTTTATTCATCTGTTGATGAGCACTAGTGTTGTTTCCACCTTTTGGTTGTGAATAATGCTGCAATGAACATTGGTGTTTGAGTACTTCAGTCTCTGCTTTTCATTCCTTTGGTTATATAGCTAAGAGTGGAATTGCTAGGTCAGAAAAAAATTTTAACTTTTTGAGGTATCACCAAACTGTTTTCTAAACAGCTCTACCATTTTGCCTCCTCTTCAGTGATCCATAGGGTTCCAGTTTCTCCACATGCTCACTAACACTTGTTATTTATACAATTTATTTTTTAACTATAAACTTACATATTACCCTTCCTTCCTTTCTTCCTTTTCTCCTTCCTTCCTTATTAGGCTTTAAAAAAAATACCTTTATTCATCTCAAGTGTCTTTCTGGGTCCTACATATGTAATAGTGAAAAAAATGATAAATTAAGTTCCAGCCCTTGATGGTACTTAAGATTTCCTTTCCTTCTGTACTCATGCTTTTAGTAATAAACCACAACCATTTTCCTTAGCTTTTCCTTTGTCGTTTATATGTTTCTTTGCTTTTTTTGAGCATATGCCATAAACCAGACACAAAATATAAGGATGAATTAGCAAGAAGCTCATAGACTAATGTGAAAGATAAATATGTAAATAATTGCAGTATGGGCTTTATAATTAAGATTTGACTGAGTGCTACAGAAACACAGAAAATGGAATGAATTAGTTGTTGCTATTGAAAATTGGTATTTTACAGAAAAGATTGTGTTTCCAGGAAGAGAGAACAGCACATACAAGGCATGGGAATGTTAGGAATTACATTGTTGCTGACATTTAGAGAACTGGGAAGTTGTAGAATGTGAAATTGAAGATGTTAGTTGGGATCAGATTTTAAGTGATATGAAAATTGTCTTGTGGAATGGTAATGCATGTAGCTGAGGGCCTGGAGTGAATATAGTCTGATAAAACAATGAACAGGTATTGAATGTAAAAGCAAGAGCACATTTTGAACTAGTTTATTAGCCAGTAGGAATAATAGATCCTATTTTGAACGTGATAAGTTTGAAATAGCTATGGATTCAGGCATAGATATTCAGGATGCAGTAGGGTACGGTGGAGACAACATACCGTATATGCATTTAACTTTAAAGTGCTCTCTTTTTCATGAAATTAAAATACCAATAAGGGCATTGAGTATTTCATTTGTGTCCTTTATTATAAATTGCTACTAGTATTTTTATATATGTATGTTTTTATACATATATTTACTACTAATTAGGATCGTATATATTATATATGTTATTTTAATGGGAAATATAAAGAATTTCCAGGGGTAATGTTGCTCATTTGCAATTTTTGCTTTCTGTGCTAATTTGATAAGAGGTGATTACATGTACATTGATCTAGACTTTAGACAAAAGGTTTGAGCTAGAGATAGTTTGGTGAAATAGTAACATTGATTGAAGCCCTAAGAATTAGAATTTCATAAAATACAGTTTCATATTCACAGTACATATATTTATATTCATAGTGAGTATAGTTATAGTTGACTGTATAATGTTTTTTCCTTCATATTTTTGTTTCCATCTAACTTATCTCCCCTGTTCATTTCTAAGCTGCTCAGAAGTCCTGTTCACTGTATATTTACTTTGGTCCTTAACTTCTGTTCTTTGTATTCAGTATTACTCAGTTACATTACTAATTTATCATCAGCAATTTACTGGGCAGAGTATTTAGTAAAAGCTATATTAATTGGACTTAATTTAAAATACATTAAATTCGTCTTACAAGAAAGACTTTTGAATTTGGTAACTTCTATATATACCTGTACATAATGAGAGAAAAAAATGACAATTTTCTTTTTTTTAATGACAAATTTCTTATACTGATATGTTCCTAATTTGTTTTTCTTTCTAAATTAAGTGTATTTTTTCTAATGTATTAAGTATTTATAAATAATTTATAGTGGGTTATATGTTGAATAAATTTGGTGTTGCGGGAAAATTCTCCAGAATATTAAGGTTAACATGGAAACACAGTTCCTCTTATTCATAACTGTATAGTTGTGTCACTTATGTAGTATGAGAAGAAGCTAAAACATTGGAGAAAAAAATTGAAAAAGAAATTTCAATAAATGACTAATTCATATCTGCCAAAAATTACTTTAACAATAGTTATTGAAATAACAAGAGATTATTAAATTTAGCCTTAACTGAAAAGACTCAACTGGGCTGTGCAATTCAGTAACCACTACATGTATATACCTACATTTAATAAAATTAAAACTTTAAATAAAGTTAAAACTGTATTTTCCAAAGTCAAGCTCGGCCTGTTTTCAGTAGTTAATAGTCACATATTGGACAGTGGCAGATATAACACAGATACTAAAGTTCTTGTATACTACTGGATATTCCTGGTTTAGAGCTATGAATCATTTTTCTTCTAATCATTATTTTTTTTAATTTCCTTATTGATTAAGGTGTCCTTATTCCCCCATTACCTCCTCCACCCCCCCACGCATCTCCTCACCCCCCCCTATTGTCTGTGTTCAATGGTTAGGCTTATATGTATGCATGCATACAAGTCCTTTGGTGGTTCTCTCCCTCTTATTCCTCCCCTCCCTTACCTTCTAATTATTTTGAAATATTAAGGGTTTTATTTGAAGAAGAAAAGAAAAAGTCTTCATGAATATTTAATATTATCCTGTTTTCTCCATTTTTATCCCTCTCATTTTTTAATCACTAGGGAAATAATTTAAGTAGTAGATAGTTCTGAATAAATTTTTCTTCATCCTTTTTCTTTTAAAAGTAACTATGTCTTTGAGTAAGTTGAGAACTTATAGACCATAAATTAATAGTAAGTCATTAATTTATCATTTACTTTAAAAATTAAATCTTTTTCTTTATCAGGCAAAGTATAAAGAAGTAAAGGCACGAAATGCACAGTTATTGAAAATGCTTCAGGAAGGTGAAAGTAAGTGATTTTGTGGTTTTAGAATTAAAACATAAGCTTAAAAAATATTTGAAGAGAATTTTTCAAGATACATGGTTTATTAACTCAACAAAATAAAAAGGTTTCCCACAGTGATACAAACTGGATTATTGCTGATAATTTTGTTATTACAAGTCACTGGTATAGCACCTTAGATATTATACAAATTTACAATTATTTACATAAGAGAAATCTTTAAATTTTAATAAATTGTTAAACTATTTTTAGTAGGAAAACAAGAATAACATTTGCTTAAGATTCTGCCTTTTAATTATTAGAGGAGAAGATCTATTATTTTAGGTTTTTCTCCCCTCTCCCCCACTCTTCATGCTTTTGCTATCACTTTAAACTTTCAGCAATAGAAGCAGGAAGCCAAGGAAATCAACCAAAACTGACTAGAGATAAGATTAGTAATGTTGCCGAAACCGGTTTGGCACAGTGGATAGAGCATAAGCCTGCGGATTGAAGGGTCCCGGGTTCGATTCCTGTCAAGGGCATGTGCCTTGGTTGCGGGCACATCCCCAGTGGGGGGTGTGCAGGGGGCAGCTGATTGATGATTTTCTCTCATCAATGTTTCTAACTCTATCCCTCTCTCTTCCTCTCTGTAAAAAATCAATAAAATATATTTTTTTAAAAAAGATTAGTAATGTTGATGTTATATTTGAATCCCACAGATCAGTTGCTTTCCTGATCATATTTACCTACTGACATTTACTTTGAAAGTTCTATAAAAAGTTTCCATTCATGACAGAAAAGAAAATGTGTAATAACTTTTAATATAAAGTTTATACAAAGGAAATTATTAACCATAAAAGAGATATAAAGACATGAATATATGAGAAAATCTTTTGAATGGACAAAATTATCTAAATACATTTTTCCAGTTAAGTATTAATGAAATACCAACTATAGATCCTAAGAATATTGTATAACACTTAAGAAAATGTGAAACTCACTTTGAAGAATAAGTGAACAAGACCAGAAAATTGTTTCAAATATGAAGATACTGGGCGTAGAATTGTCCAACCAAAATCTAAACTATATTATTAAATAATAGTTATGAAACCAATATAATTAAAAACCCAGAAATCTTGTCTGGTTGCATAGAATATATAGACAGTCTTGAAGTAGATTCAGGCTTTTGATAACCCTTTAATTTTTTATAACTATTATTTAACTATTATACAGCTTAGCTATGATGAAGTAGAAATCCTATCTAATAAAGAGGAAATATGCAAAATGACTGTCACACCATCACAAAGATGGCGGTGCCCAGTCCCTGCCTGAGTCGCACAGTCCTTCCAGCACAGCAGGTGCACAGTATGGCCAGACCAGCCCTCAGCTCACTAGCCGCCCAGGGTTGGCCCAAGGCACAGGAAAGCCTTGGATGGCGACTGCCCAGCCGATGCCCAAGGTGCATGCAAGCCTCAGATGGCGGCTGCACAGCCCCCCAGGGCGCCTGAGGCTCAGGTAACCAGGGCTGGCCGAAGCTTGTGCTGTCTGTAATGGCAGCAGCAGAGATGTGATGGGGATGTCTCCTTCCCGATTGCCAGGTTGCTTCCTGCCCCGGAGGACTCCCAGACTGTGAGAGGGGACAGGCTGGGCTGAGGGACCCCCACCTCCAGTGCATGAATTTTAATGCACTGGACCTCTAGTTAAAGAGATAGGTGGTAGATATTTTGATTGTGGGTATGGGTGGAGTTATCTGTGTTCACATAATTGAGCTTAAGCAAATGCAAAATTCCTGTTGTGTTCAAATTGTTCCTAATATATCAGTGTCATTGAAACAAGCATTATAGGAGAAGAGACTATAATTAAAGTATTACATAATTATTAAAAAATCATTAGTTCTGTGTGTGTGTGTGTGTGTGTGTGTGTGTGTTTAATTATGAAGATGGAGGAGTAGAAAGTATAATTCATAAAAGTTCCCAAGTTGGTTTCTTGAAAGACAGATTTGTTTCTAGATACATGTTACACTTTATTGCATATCATATTAAACTATGAAAAATAAAATTGATTTACAGTATTATATTGGTAGAGTTGTAGTCATATCAGTACTCAAAAATACTTATACATTTCTTCTCTTACAAATTTTATTATAGTTTTACCTCTTCAGTCTCTCTTGTTTTTCTTTTCCTTAGCTTGTTTTTAAAGTTGAGGAGTTAGCTTTTCATTCAGTAGCCATTATACCATGGGATTTATTGGCCATATGGGGATTTTTAATGCTTAGGAAACTAAGGAGATGAAATATAGATCTCTTGCTTCCCCAAAGAGGGGAAAAAACTTCTAGACAAATGAATAGTTCTGAGAGACCACAGATGTTATATATGATCAGATATGATCCTATGAACTATGTTTGACAGTGCTTTATTGGTATGAAACATCAGATATAAATAATTTCTGTGGGCCTATATGGTCACCTTGACAATTTAAGAAAACAAAGGAAATAGAAATGTTCTATATTTATATATTTTTTAATCTTAAAGATTACTAAAAAAAAAAAAAAAAAAAAAAAAAGATTAGTCAAGGTATTTAAAGTTTTCTCACTGAAACCAGTTTGGCTTAGTGGATAGAGCTTCAGCCTGCGGACTGAAAGATCCCGGGTTCGATTCCGATCAAGGGCATGTACCTTGGTTGTGGGCACATCCCCAGTAAGGGGTGTGCAAGAGGCAGCTGATCGATGATTCTCTCTCATCAGTTTTTCTAACTCTCTATCCCTCTCTCTTCCTCTCTGTAAAAAATCAATAAAATATATTTAAAAAAAATAAAAATAAAGTTTTCTCTCTGTGTGAAATTTTTTATTTTCTTGTATATTTGTCCTTTTTACTCTAAATGGAAAAACATACTCTTTCATCAGATCTTTACAATTTTTCAGAACTGAAACGAAAAATTTTCAAGAATATGATATCAGAATTTCTCAATGAAAAATAAGAGCTATATAGGATCAAAGAATCCATTCATTAAATAGGAGGACAATTGCTATTTTGGGTCACTATAATATTGTAAAAACATTGGAGTGATTGACAAAATTATTTATACTACTCCTTTCCTCTCCCTTTTTTGTCAGTGAAAGATAAGGCAGAAATACTTCTGCAAGTTGATGAATCACAAAGTATCAAGAATGAACTGACTATACAGGTAAGGAAAACTATACAAGACTGAGATTCTTAGGCTGTTCTTCAGTCTTGAATTGTGAAACTTGACTAAACAAAAATATAGCCCATCAACATTGCAAGAAAGTGATATAAATTGGTGAATACATAATACAGTACACAGGTAATGTGTTACAGAATTATACACCGAAGCCTATATAATTTTATTTAAAGTGTTATCCCAATAAATTCTATAAAAAAGAAAATGATTAAATTATTACTATGTATTAGCAAATGAATGAAGATTCTATTTACTGTTTAAGAGTGGTAGCTACGTCCTGAAGAATAGGGGAAGATAAGGTTATATTTTAGTTGATGTGGACTACAAATATAGAGATAGAAAGGGCAGATAGAACTTATCCTTCCCTTGGGCTTGATTTTCTGCCCTGCCCATTCTTAATCTATGGTCTTAGAACAGTGAGCTTGTCCTATGTATCTCTAATATATAGCTAAGTAAAGTGCCTAATTGAAATTGGGATGGTAAGAAAGGGTTCTCCTCTGATTATCATTTATCCAGTAGTCAGAAATCATCATTGTGAATAAGTGTTAAGAATTAAGGTTATTATATGTCTGATGCCAGGTGGTAGGTACTGGAAATATTGAGGGAAACACTTTATAAAGTATATGATTGTCTAACTACTACGCTTTACACACCTGAAATGAAAACAAAATTATTTTGAATGTAAAAACACACACACACACACACACACACACACACACACAGAGCTAAAAATTAAAGGGAATTAAGGGTATTTGCTTAAAAACACAGAAAAAGTCTTTTTTTAAAATTGAATATTTGGTTACAGGTGACTTCACTTCATGCTGCGTTAGAACAAGAAAGATCTAAAGTGAAAGTTTTACAAGCAGAATTAGCCAAATATCAGGTATGCTTTTATAATTCTGAAAATGTTTTCATCACAAATAATACCTTTGAAATAGATACTGTTTGAGAATAAGTGGACTATTTTTTTCTTAGGCCAAAATTTATTCACCAGAAATATTAACCATTTTATATAATTTACATTTTAGAAAATGTTAAGATTTTCCTAGATATTGATAAATGCAGCAATAACTAAAGTATTTCAGAAAAAAATTCTTGGTACTACATAAATGTTGCAGTATATATGCCATTGACTTATATTGAGGGAAGGCACATAATGACATTTGCTCCATTATATAATAAGTTTAATCATTTGGGTACAGCAGTATCTTTTAGATGTGTTTACTGTAAAAGTATATTTATAAATTAATAAATTATATGTGGAGTGATACTTTGCGATTGTGTGACGAGATCTTTTTTTTTTTACCCAATGGTTTAGCATCCATTGATATTTGTAGCAGTTATTTTTGGTGATTGCAAAATAGTGATTTTTCTAATTCTGTAATTTCTTCTGCACTCACAAACTGGCATTCAGCATTTTATTTAGGGTGAAGCAGTAAAAAACCTCAATGCTTTGTATCAGTATATGTGTATCTGTATGTATATATAAACACACACACATATTTATTTATATGTACGTATGCCTAAGTTATGATTAAAAAATTAATGTGAGGCATAGTAAAAAAAAAAAAAAAAAGGAAAGCCATTGATGACCTAGAGAACATAAAAGTTATTTAGCTCCAGCTTTGACATCTTATCAGTCTGGGGATGAGAACTTGTCTGGAAGGCTTTAAAAATGATTTTTAAATATTTTGTGCGTTTAAAAAGAAATCTTGTTGAGAAGTAAGGTAAAAGTTTTAAGCTGTATAGCATTGATACCTATGGGTAGTTGAGATCTACTTTATAGAAAAATTTTTGAAAATTTTATTTTTATTTTTCTGTAAGAAATAAATTTTGTTTTTAAGATGTGATAATACATCTCAGGTCCCAGATAACCTCTTTTTTTATACTTATTTTCTCTGAATAAATCCTTGGAAAACTATTATTTGGTCAGGAATGACTAACAGCATTTTTGGACTTGATTTCTTGAAAAAATATGAAGGTTGATATAGAAATGTTTTTGATCCACAAGAGAAAAGTTATAGGCAGTGAAAAGATGAGAAGAAGACAAAGAGAAGCTGCCACCATTATTCATGGGCCTGGGTTTCATCTGCACCTAACATAACCACCATTTTATGAAATGCACTTTTCACAGACAAGTAGTTCCCGGCTTGGTTGATCATCAGAATCACCTGAGAGTTTTTTTGAATTACAGGTAGTTTGGCCCACTCCTAGTAATAGTAAATAAATAGGTCTGGAACAAAGTTTTGACATCAGAATTTGAAAAATATTACTACCTACATGATTCTAATCAATTAACTTGGATACATTGTCATAGTTTATAAAAGATGGAGAAAAACTATAAAATTGTTGTAAGGCAAATACATCAAATCATTATTTATGGTTAAAAAGAGGGGTAGCCCTAGCTGGTTTTGCTCACTGGATAGAGCATTGACCTGTGGACTCAAGGGTCCCAGGTTCAATTCCAGTCAAGGGCATGTACCTTGGTTGCGGGCACATATCCAGTGGGAATTGTGCAGGAGGCAGCTGATTGATATTTCTCATCAATGTTTCTAACTCTCTCTCTCCCCTCCTTCCTCTCTGTAAAAAATCAATAAAATATTTTTTTTTATAAAGAAGAGGGGTAGGTAGAGTAGTTATGGATAATTTTAATTTTCTTCTTTGTATCTTTGTACTTTCCATATTTCTACAATTAGTATTTACTTTTAATGCGAAAATGTTATATTAATTTGTGTAAAATATTTTTTGTCTTTTAAGCTGCCTTTCTCTTTTCTTGGCTCTAGTTAAATTGGAGCAGATTAAATACAGATGTATAGATGTCACTGAGCAATATGAAAAGTATAATCTACTTTTCAAAACAGTGATGAACAAAATCAGACTTCTAATGCTGTTGTCTGGTAAGAAGACTAGACAAAACTTGCATTAGAAATTGAATTACCAAAAGGGATCATATGGAATAAATTGTGTTAGTATTGATTAAAATTTTTATTTTAAAAACAAACTGGGACAGTCTAAAAGAGCTCTAAAAAAGGTAACATAATTGGTGATCTTACTAAATCTAGACCAGTTCAAAGAGGGATAACTGTTTTCTACAACTACTTTAACCATTTGTAAAAATAACCCTATAAAATAATTTAGTAGTATGTATATTCAAATATGCAACAAACTCAAAAAATGCTTCCTTCTCATACTCAAAATGCCTCTGGTTTCATATATTCTTAAAATGAAAATGCCCTCAAAATGGTATTTCCTAAATAATTTGCCCCATTTTTCTTTACAGGGTGGCAGAAAAGGGAAAAGAAACTCTGAATTCGACCAGTGTAGGTGATTCCATTAGCCTTTGAGGTCAACATAAAAATTAAAACTTTCAGGGTTTTGCAAAAATGTATATATTTAATGCTGTGCAACTGCTAAGCTATGCAGTTTTTGTTGAAATATGTAAAACAATTAGCTTACTAACAGTCTATAATTTTTTGTCCTTTTGGCTTAAAGTGAAAAGAAGAAAAACAGAATTCCAGCAGAATACAATGATTATTGTTTACTATCCATACTTCTTATCACTTTAGTTTTTCATCAGTCAATAAAATTAATTTACTTTCCATTAATATGTTTGATGTTTTACGTTTCAGAAACAATGTGAACATATTATTTTTGCTTATAGCACAACCAATTAATTGAATTGTTAAGTTTAGTGACTATATTACTCAGCACTTGCTGTATGCTAAACCTATGGGACATACAAAATGAGTGAAAAATGGTTGCTATAATAGGTTTATTGCCTACTATAAAAGATTGGGGTTCCCTAAGCTCCGAACATCTCTCTTATAACAGTGCTCACTACATATACAGATGACACTGGTCCTCTTTGCATTGCTTTTTAGGAACTGGGCCTTGGGGAAATGGTGCATGACAATGCTGACACTCTTCTGTTGATGTAACAGTCCTTTGTCCTTGACCTAGGAGACCTGTGTCTTCATTCTCCACATCCACAAAATGTGTCCAAGTTAACTTAGCTTGCAAGTAGGGCAAGTAGAGGCTGATATTAGATCAGCGTCAGGTCCAGGTAACAACTTCAGCCATGTAACAACTAATACTATGTTTTGCCCTCTGTCAGACAATAGTGATAGAAACAAGCATTACATTAAACATGAAAGGGAAATTCCCAACTGCTATGGGCAGAAACCAGGCAGATTTTTAGAACCATCCCTGGAAGACTTGGGAGATGAGGGAGTGAGCATATAAGCATTGTTAAGAATGGCAACAACCTCTGGTCTGGCTCAGTGGATAGAGTGTCAGCCTGTGGACTGAGGGGTCCCAGGTTCGATTCCAGTTGGGGGCATGTACCTTGGTTGTGGGCACATCCCCAGCAGGGGATGTGTAGGAGGTAGCTAATCGATGTTTCTCATCGATGTTTCTGGCTCTCTATCCCTCTCCCTTCCTCTCCGTAAAAAATCAATTAAAAAAAAATTAAAAAAAAAAAAAAAAAGAATGGCAACAGTGCCAAAACTGGTTTGGCTCAGTGCATAGAGCGTCGGCCTGTGGATTGAAAGGTCCCAGGTTTGATTCTGGTCAAGGGCATGTACCTTTAGTTGCGGGCACATCCCTGGTAGGGGGTGTGCAGGAGGCAGCTGGTCAATGTTTCTCTTTCATCGATGTTCCTAGCTCTCTCTCTTTCTCCCTTCCTCTCTGTAAAAAAATCAATAAAATATATTAAAAAATAAATGAAAATAAAAAGAATGGCAACAGCTGGGCTATCTCCCTCTGCTCAGCTCTTCCCTTAGCCTATCATGCTAATCTTAGATCCATCCAGAGATGACCATAAAAGGTCTCAAGAGTTTTTGTTTGTTTGTTTGTTTTTACAATGCAAACTGCTGTAAGGATCTTTGGTCCTCTAAGAGGGATTTTTCTGAGGCAGACTAATTCCTAGGGAAACCATAAATGACGTATTTAGATTGGTATTAAGGCTCTTATTGCCCCAGGTTGGGTTTAACAATGCTAATGAGGTAACCCACTGAAGATTGAAAAACAGACCCAAAGAAATCTAGGTAACTTCTTGTAATGAGCCCTGTCTTCATGGAAAACTCCCCCAATCACTTGAATTTAAGGTGTTATTTTGATAAGGGGGAGCAAATGCCCAGATGAAGGTGATCTCCTCAAAGAAGGTCATCAACCAAAGGACAACTCCAGCCACAGCTGGAAAATGTGGCTGTGGCTGCCACAGTTACATGGGCAGGACACTCTGGGCAGAATTAGAACTTCGCTGCCTAATGCAGCGCTTTGGGTGGGCTGGGAAGATTGAAAGTTTGTTTGATGAAATTTGTTTAAGCCACTGCAGTGCTTAAAGCAAAGTCATTGCACTTTGCTTCTGGCACACCTTCTTCTTCCTGGTTCTTGATCCCTCCCTCATCCTCTATTCCAACTTCAGCTACTTTAAGGGAAAGATGATTAGCAGAGGGACCAAGTTTTCCCTGTCACCAAGGGGAACCAAAGGTCTGTTTGCTTGGCAAGTATTTGGGGGAACTTCGGGGTGGAGAGGAACTCTAACTTACATGGCTCTGCTGGATACAGGAGTCCATCACCATTCTCTCAGCCCCACTGGGGAACTGGCATCTAGAGAATGCAGCCAATAGGGCTTAGGCAGGATTCCTAGAGAAGGAATGCTAAAGTGACCTTCTGGGTGGGTCCTCCAGGCTAATTCAATCATTGTTTTAGATCTGAATGTATAGTAGGAATTCATGTGCACCTCTGTTTCCTCATTCCTTAAGTGCCAGAGGACCTTCTCCTTATTGCAATTGCGGAAGAGTTACCTGCAGAGAAGTGCTAGTGACTTTGAGGCTCCACAGTTTGAGCCAAAAGTCTTCAGGAATGATAATTTTGCCTATTGGAGTCTCTTAAGAGAAGGCAGCCTCCATCCTGAGGTGCCCCTTGGGGTTTTGAACTCAAAGCCTCCCTAACACAGCTACACACATACCCCATTTGAAAAGCAGCTGTTAGTTGCCATAGTCAGGTAGCTCAATTGGTTAGAACAGTGGTCGACAAACCATGGCTCTTTGGCCCCTTTAATGTTCTAATGCCACTTCTTCAAAATAGACTCGCCCAGGCCAAAAACCGACTTCTGTGCATGGGCCATGAAGTTTCAATAGCACTGTACTTGTGCACCCACATATGGTATTTTGTGAAGAGCCACACTCAAGGGGCCAAAGAGCCGCATGTGGCTCGCAAGCCGCGGTTTGCCGACCACTAGGTTAGAGCATTGTTCTGATATGCCAAGAATGAGAGTTCGATCTCCAGTCAGGGCACATAAAAGAACCAATGGATGCATAAATAAGTAGGACAGCAAATGGATATTTCTCTCATCAATAAATAAAAAGGGGGGGGGGAGGGGAGAAAGCAAGCCTATTTCCCAAATATTCCGTTTTTCTTTTTCTTTTTTTAAATGTTTCTTTAAAAAAAAAAAAAAAAGCAGCTATTTATTAGCTTTGCTATTTTGAGCTCTTGTTGAAACTAAAAGCCTGACTGATAAAGGCTGTGTGACTCCGCCTAATAATGCTATTTGGCGATGAGTCAATTTTGACTTGAATGACTACCAAGGTGGGAAGGGCTAAATAAGCCTTGTTCAGCAAATGGAAATGATATATTAAAGAATGCTGCTGTTCTGGCCCACAGTATCTTGGCTTTATATGAAAAGTGGCAGCTGTCCCCTGGAGAAACTACCACTTGCCTTCTCTTCCCTCTTGACTTTATGTGTGAAGCAAAGCTGTTGACTCAATGGAGCTCTCAACTCAGGATTTCCCCTAAATGCCTGGGCCTGATTCACTGATGGTTTAGCTATACTCAAACCTATCAGATCTGCTGGGGCTGTTCAACTTCGGTGTTAACATGTAGAACCATCGGTGGACATGGTCACTATACTTTGGGCAGAATTAAAGGCCATTCTCTTATTTCTGGCCAATAGTCTTCTTGATGAACTTTGTTATATTTGTACTAACTCTTGGGCTGTTGCCAATGGCCTAGCTCTTCGTTCTGCACTTGGGAAACTACAGACTGGCAGATTGAAACACATCCTCTTTGGGGACATGAAGTATATAAACAAATCACAATCACTGACCCAAACACTTGGGTCTCTCATGTAGATGTCCATGAAAGGGGCTATACCATTGAGAATGATTGGAATCAAATCGCTGACAGCTCTGTGCTGCCTGACTGCCACCATTGCTGCTTCTGTCCATCACTGTATCTGGGCATGGTCCACACCGTGTGTCATCATCATAGAGTGGGCAGAGTAAGGAATCTATGTTTCTGATGCAAAGGTTACCACTGATTGCAACTTGGACTCCTGACAAAAGATGACACATTCGTCTCAGGGAATGAGGCCACACTGCACAAGTGTGGCTCCTGCCCACTGCTGACATATTGATTACATTGGTCTTTTGCTCCTCTCAGGGGTATTGGTGGTGCCTCACCATTGTTGACACTGTCACCTTTGGTGTTACTGGTCTAGTCCAATCAACTGACTCTAGTCATTCTCTTGTGTCCCTTAAAACTAATCTGTCATGTTTTTGGCATTTTGGAACATTTGCAGTGTGACAAATGTACTTTTTATTGCGAAAGCCACTTAGCAATGGGCTAATGGCCAAGAGTACTTAGGACTTCTTGTGCTAACTTTACAGTCCTCTCAAAAGACTATCTTACTTTATATCCCTCTCTTGCTCCTAGTTCATATACTTTATTTATTTTTTAAATATATTTTATTGATTTTTCACAGAGAGGAAGGGAGAGGGATAGAGTTAGAAACATTGATGAGAGGGAATCATCGATCAGCTGCCTTTTGCATACCTCCCATTGGGGATGTGCCCGCAAACAAGGTACATGCCCTTGACCGGAATCGAACCCGAGACCTTTCAGTCCGCAGGCTGACTCTCTATCCACTGAGCCAAACCGGTTTTGGCCTAGTTCATATACTTTAATACTAGGTATTTTGGTCACTGAATGTGGCTGTCTCTAGAAAGAGATCATCTCCTCTTGATCACTTCCTAGATAATGATAAAAAAAAAAAGGGGGGGTGGCAAAAAAAGGGGGGGGTGGCAAGTGGGGTGTACATATAAAATGATAGTGAAAATCCAGAATGCTATCCTGGGCATGATGCTTCTTTCTTTCCTCTAATGACAATCACAGGTTGGCCTTATTGGTACATTATTTAAACTTGCCCTAGCCAGTTTGGCTCAGTGGATAGTGTCAACTGTGGACTGAAGGTTCCCAGGTTTGATTCCAGTCAAGAGCACATGACCGGGTTGCAGGCTTGATCCCCAATAGTGTAATGTAGGAGGCAGCCTGCGAATGCCCACGCTGGGCTGCAGTTGCGAGTGCCCCACGTTGGGCTCCCAATTGCGAGTGTTCCCTCCCCACGTTCTGCTTGGTTCAGGGTTTGGGTTCTGGAGGAGGCCGCACACAAAGAGACTGGACAAGAAAATATTAATTTGGGAATTTGGGGTTAGGCAGAAGCCCAAGAGAGGACTCTGCTCTCTTTTTTATTTTTATTCAGGTCTAGGGTACACTCATAGCCCTTAGGCAGGCAATTCCAATTAATAGCTCAGTGATAGCCCATCAGCAAGGATTTAAGTTGCTTCAGCTCCCTTTGACTCAACTAGACAGTGGGTGCATGGCTCTGACCTTTGCCAGAGCCTCAAGTTTGACTAGCCTTCCAGACTCCTTGTCCACCCCTTTCTGCTAGTGAAGGCAATGGGCAGCTTCCAACAGCAGCCCATCAATGATTCTCTCTAATCATTATGTTTCTATCTATCCCTCTTCTTTTCTCTCTAAAATAAATAAAAACATATTTAAAAAAAAAGATTTAAGCTTAATTCTGGCTTAGCTGCTTGGATTCTCCTGACATGGTCCTAGTGGGTAAGGATAATGATTGAGTACATGATTGAATACACTGCTCCCTTAGTCCCCTATAATGGCCTGTGGGGTGGTCCAAATGAGGGCATAATGGCTCTCAAATTTTAGAAAAATGTCCTTATTGCTTTTTTCATCCTTATGGACAAAAGGTCTGGGTGAAGGTGAACTTATAACTACAGGAATGGGACATACTGGTTTTTTGGTGGTAGAGGTAAGCTGTGTGTCACTAGGGGAACATCTTGGACCTCAGGAGGCCTGGGAGAGGGTGAGACATCATGGTATTCCATCTTTCGGAGCTATCCCCAGACCTTTCCTCACGAAGGAAGACACTCAGGTAAGGTTCTCTTGAATTAGCAAACATTACATTTAACTGGCTCTACCGTCCACCACATAGCTCTCTGATCACAGTTGATTGCCATTCTTATTTAATAAGCCAGTTCAAAATGGCAGGGTAGCTCAGTTGGTTAGAGCATCATCCTGATAAGTCAAAGTTGTGGGTTCGATCCCTAGTCAGGGCACATTGCAAAAATGAACTAATGAATGCATAAATAAGTGGAACAACAAATTGGCGTTTCTCTTTTTTCCTCTCTAAAATTAAAAAAAAAATTTAAAGTTAAAAATATGGGGACTGTCCCATCTCTTGCACCTCCCATGCAAAACATTTGTTAGCATCTCCATATATCCTTCCCATCCCTACTCAAGTAGACTTCACTAGTCATTCTGTGGAGAGGATGAATGCCATTCAGCTGGTGCCATGGACAAACAGGACAGTTTGGATTGCCTGCCTGTAGGCAGTCCTTCCATAAAAAAGATTAGACTTAATTATTCAAACGAACTAGGGAACCTAAGGCTTACCAACCAGCTAGCAGGCCACAATAGAGGCACTGTCATCTTGTGCTCTGTAGGGAGCAGCTATAGGGTTAAGCCTTGGACTGACCTGTTGGCAAAGCCACAAACAAGTCCCAGCTTAGAGCGCACAGCCCTCTTAACATAATTAAACTTGACCTTATGACATATGGGGTGTAGGAGGTGCAGCAAGTGCTGCCAAAACAAACAAGAACATTGTAACTGGTGACCACTACCTTGTTTACCTCTGACTATAAAATAAAGCGTCAGTCCCTAAGCAGTTTGGCTCAGTGCACAGAGCATTGGCTTTCCAACTAAAGGGTCCAAGGTTCCATTCAGTCAAGGGCATGTACCTTGGTTGTGGACAAATCCTCAGTAGGGGGTGTGCTGAGGCAGCTGATTGATGTTTCTCATCGATGTTTCTAACTCTCTGTCGCTCTCCTTTCCTCTCTGTAAAAAAATCAATTTATATATTGATTTTATATATAAATATAAAATAAAAATATATATATATATATTTTTTTTTTAAATTTTTAAAGGCTCAGCTTGCCATCTGGAACTTTCTCTGTGGCCTTAGCCAGGCACAGGAGATCCACCTAAACCCAACTTATTCTGTCTTTTCTTCAATCCTTCGCTGCCCGCTTCCTCCCTCAGGCTCACCAAACCCTTGTCTGTGCTGGCCCAGCACATATGGTGTCCAATTGATATAGGTCAGATTGGTTGCAGGGGGGGAGGGGGGAACACCTTCAGTAATTAGAAACATTTTCTTTCCAGGTGCATCATATGTGCCCCAGGACTGTACTTCTTAGGTGGATATCACAAATAACCACAATTCTCCTCCTCTTGAAAAAACAGTGGCTTGCACCTTAGGGATGGTGATAAGAATACTTCAAGTGTTTGAGGAAACACCATCAATAGATCACAGAGCCATCAGACCACATGTAGAACTATCTAAAATGAGACTGCCCTTGATTACTTGGAGAAGTTTCTCAGAGGGATAATTTACTTGTTTGTATGTAACCTGGGAGGGGGGGTTATTTCTACAAGGAGAACCATCCAATTAGAAGAGGTAGAACAGAATTTGTCCTCAATTTAGCTGAAGAGATCAATGACATCACATTGGCCCTGGAAGGCATTCAAGTCAGCCTCAACTCACTGTTCAGGGTTATGATATAATTGCCCTAGATTTCCTCTGTGCAGGCCATGGCAAAGTATGTGCAATTGCTAATACATCCTTCTGTGCCTAGATTGATTAATGCCTTGGGCCACGGTGATAAGTCAATACAGAAACAATACCTAGGAAGCAGCCAAAGTAGACCCTGGTGCTGTATGGGACCCTGGGGAGCATGGTTATTAATACTGCAGGTTGGCCTCATTCTGCTATTGGAATTCTATTGGAAGCCTATGAGACAAATACATGTGTGCTGAATAAATTTGTCCTCTGAAAACATTAGACTTGGAATTTTACACAAGCAGGGAGTGAAGACCAACACTGACGTCATTTCAGTTAGAATTCTCAGGGGGAAAATATCTTCCTGTTTATTTATACCCATATTAAATTAAAGTCTGAAATAAAGCAGTAACTTATTTGATGTAAGAATATTAAAAGAACACCTCAGCAACATTGAAGAGTTGGATGGGACTCCGTTTCTGCTCATTTTGGGAAATCAGTGTTACAGAAAATTCGGGATTGCTTGCGCAGGGATGTCAGCATGGGAGTGGAGGCCACAGTCAACCCAGGTGGCCCTATCACTTGAGCAAAAGGGGCTGAGCCGCGGGCAGGAAGCCACGGCCTTGGAGCGATGACTCCATGGTATTGCGCTGTGTGGCCTCAGACGCCTACGACTTTTTTTTTTTTTTTTTTTGGGGGGGGGGGAGGGTTTATGAGGCTCTTTCCTCGATTAACTTAGCTTCCAACAACCGAGCTCCAGACAGTAAGATCAAGCATTTTAAATCTCCCAAGTAAACGAAAATTAAGCATATTAAAATAACAAAAACCTCTCCTTAAAGACTCCTGTCCCAGTGGCGACGCGGAACCTAGCTTTGGTCCTGGGAGCCCGGCGGCGCGCTGTATGACGTAAGGGGGCGGGGAAACGCCCTAGATGGCGAGCGCGCAGGCGCAGCCACGGCCGCAGCGACCAGTGGGTAAGCCCTTTCTAGCAATTTCGCTAACTGTGAAGTCATCCACGTGCGCCGCGATAATGGCTTCCAAAAAACCTGCGAGTTTATTTTTTGGTGAAGGGACTGAAAATAAACGGACCTCTCCCGCCCCACTCGGCTTATATTATTCTTTCGCTCTGGCTGTGCCTACACTGACTCACGGGAGAGGGGAGGCAAAGGCGCGGGGGCTCCCAGCCCGGTCGGCCGGGCGTGACTGGCCGACGCCGTCAGCTGCGTTACCCGACATGCCCCGCGCGGCGGCGGCGGCGGCGGCGGCGGCGGAGGAACGCGGGGGAGGGGGTGGGGAGGAGGAGGAAGCGGCGGCGGCGGCGACGGCTGCGGATGTCGCTGCGACCGAGCGGCGTCTGAACCTACCGCGGCCTCCGAGCGCCCGACCCGGGCCTGCGCCGGCGCCCACGCCCAGCTCTGCCGCCCCCTCGCCCGCCAGGGCGGCCCCGCGCCCCTAAGCCACTGAGGCGGCGCGACCCGCGTCCTCCGTTGTCCGGGCCCCGCCGGGCTCTGGCGTCTGCTGGCTCCCCCTCGCTCGCCTGCTCCTTCCTGAGTCACCGCCGCCGCCATGGCCGAGAGTGGTGAGAGCGGTGGCCCTCCGAGCGCCCAGGACAGCGCCGCCACGGCCGAAGGGACCGGCGCCCCCGCGGCGGCCGCAGCTTCCGCGGAGCCCAAGATCATGAAAGTCACCGTGAAGACCCCGAAGGAGAAGGAGGAGTTCGCGGTGCCGGAGGATAGCTCCGTCCAGCAGGTGAGGGAGGGGACCGCCCTCGGCTCGGTCCGCGTAGGGGTGGCGGCGGCGGGACCTCTGCCCGCGGCGGCGGGGGGGGGGGGGGGAAGGGAGGTGGCTTTTAAAGGCCCGGGCGGGGGGTCTTCCCCGTCGTACTCTCCTGGGCTCATCCCTAAAGAGATCACACCCCACCGCCGTGTCTGTGGGTTTGCTCCCTGGGACGCCGCCGAGGTTTGTGGCGGCGCCTCGCGGCCTGTTGGTGGGACGCGCCGGCACCTCTTCCCTCGGCGCCTGACGCTGTGGCCTCCGCCGCCCCCCGCCGCTTCCCCGCCGCTTCCCCGCCGCTTCCCCGCCGCTTCCCCGCCGCTTCCCCGCCGCTTCCCCGCCGCTTCCCCGCCGCTTCCCCGCCGCTTCCCCGCCGCTTCCCCGCCGCTTCCCCGCCGCTTCCCCGCGGCCCCGCACAAAGGAGGGACCCGCCGGCCGGGAGGGGGCAGGCTGCGGCGGGGTTCGCTGTCGCCCAGTCCCCCGTTTTGTCTCAGGAATAAAAAAAAGGGAGGGGGGGGCTTATTGTTTTGCCTGCCCGAGGGGTAAGGTGGGTTTTGAGGTGAGAAGCACATGGACCTTGAGTTCTGCGTTTTCACGGCTGCATCTTTCCTAGTCTTTATTATTATTATTATTATTATTATTATTTAATTTACTATAACGTAGAACTTGCTTTAACCACATCTGAAGGGATCGTATTAGGTTTCAGGAGAAAGTTGGATGGACTCTCATTGATGACTGGGGGTTTTCTTTGTAATCTATCATCCCTCAGATGCCAATCATTGGGTAGGTTTTTGTTTGATTTTTAGGGGGAACGGTCGCTGGCGTTACTCAGATATTAGCCGTTGCGATCTAATTAAAAAACAAAAAAACAGAATTGGAGTTAATGGAGAATACTGCCAAATAATTTACTACTTAAAATCTGTTCAGCAATGTAAATGTCACAGTTAATGAGGAATCTCGAATTCAGCAGATTGTTTTTAGCCTATAGTTGAATACACCCTGGAATATTTTTCCCATAATTATTGTATTGAACTCCGGCAATTTCAAACATTGTGAGCAGTTTATGAGGAAGCAATTCCTGAAATGGACATATTACCTAGGGACTGTGATTGTGGTATTGGTGTACATGGTTCTAAAAGATGGTGAGTTTTGTGAAGTTGTAAGGAGGCGTGTAGTGAGAGAAACTTTTACCACCTACTGAATCACCATATTTTTTGGTCTTAGTTGTGCTCTGAAAAATTTAACATTTTTATATTGTCCAACATTCAGGAAAATTGAAAGTTGGAAAATGAATACCCACATGTCTTTACCTACAATTCGTGTTTTGCTGTATTTGCTGTATTACACAAATAATTTATCAGTCCATTTTTTATTTTGAATGCATTTCAAAACAAATTGCAAATATCGGTACATGGCCCCCTTAAAGAACACTGCAGCAATGTGTATATCATTAACCTGAGTTCAGTCTTTTTATTTATTTACTAGGGGCTGGTTGCATGAAATTTGTGCGGGGGAGGGGGCGTCCCTCAGGCGGGCCTGCTCCCTCTCGCAGTCCGGGACCCCTCGCTCCTTACCACTGGCTTTTGGCTCCTTAAACGCTGCCAAGGAGGTGGGAGAGGCTCCCGAGGCTCCCACCACTGCCGCTGGGCTCGCCAGCCATGAGCCCGGCTTCAGGCTGAGTGGCACTCCCCTTGTGGGAGAGCACTGATCACCAGGGGGCAGTTCCTGCATTGAGCGTGTGCCCCCTGGTGGTCAGTGCGCATCATAGTGACCAGTCTTTCCACCATAAAGGTGGCTTAGGCTTTTATTATATAGAGAGATTTATTGCTACTGTATGAGTTTCCACAAAACTATGTAATCTAAAGCTTTTTATTAAGATGTAGGACTTTATAATTGACTAGAAAGTTATCTCTTAACCTTTCCCAATCAGTTCAGCCACTCTCCCCTCCATCACCCACAGTTTAAAATTTTCTTCACTGTTGGTTAGTTTTGCCTTTTCTAGAACTTTTCGTAAGTGTCATCGGGTAAGGCTTTTTCTCCCACTCAGCATAATGACTGAGATTCATTCTTGCTGTCTCCTACATGCCCTCTCCTGGGGATCCAGCCGGAAACCCCGGCATGTGTTCAGATGGGGAATGGAACCATGACCTCCAGGTTCATGGGTTGACACTCAATCAGAGCCACACCTGCCAGGCTGTAGTTCCTTTTTTATTGCTGTGTTGTTTTCATTGTATAAATATACCAAAATTTATCTATTATCCTGTTGTCAGTTATGTGGGCTGTTTTCAGTTAGTTACTATGGACATTCTTTTACAAACCCTTTTTTAACAAGTGCTTTTATCTCATGATAATTACTTAAAGATGAAATGACTAAATCAAGTGGTAGAAACCATGTTTGCGCTATTTTACAATCCTACACAACAGTGTGTGGGAGTTTCTGTTGCTCCACATTCCTGCTAACACTTGATAGTGTCAGTCTTTTTTGTTTTATTATAGTGGGTGTGTAGTCATATTAATTTTTTAAATATATATTTTATTGATTTTTTACAGAGAGGAAGAGAGAGGGATAGAGAGTTAGAAACATTGATGAGAGAGAATCATCGATCAGCTCAGCTGCCTCCTGCACACTCCCTACTGGGGATGTTGCCGCAACCAATGTACATGCCCTTGACCGGAATCGAACGTGGGACCTTTCAGTCCGCAGACTGATGCTCTATCCACTGAGTCAAACCGGTTTCGGCTAAATTTTATTTTGATAAATACTTTCTGTTGGAGCAGGAACATGATAAAAATTGAAGCTCATCACTGCACCAAGACTCTGAAGACAAGTTGAACTATCTGTACACTCTGTTGAGGGAAGCACATACAGGAAAATGTGCAAGAATAAGAAAAGCAGTTTCAGATAATATGTAAAATTCTACTTGAAGCACAAGAAACAAATTGTAACTTTGTAATTTAAGTTTTTCTAAGTAGCTTGTTAACTTTAAATTATTTGCTACATATTAAAATTTATTATTAAAATATATTTAATGACATTAGGACTCAATAAAAATGTTCAGTAAAAAATTGAGAACTATTTGTTTCTGAGAATTCTTAGGTAATATTGTAGGTAAAGGGTTAAGCAAGATACCTACAAAAGGATAACACTGGAAGCTTAGGCTCTCTATCAGACAAATGTCATTTTCTACAATTTAAAATATCTTTCAATAAGTGTTCTTATATCATTCTCTTAAAGTATACTAAAGTAGTTCTTTCTCTTTTTTTTTGTAAAATATATTTTATTGATTTTTCACAGAGAGGAAGAGAGGGATAGAGAGTTAGAAACACTGATGAGAGAGAATCATCGACCAGCTGCCTCTTGCACCCCCTACTGGGGATGTGCCGGCAACCAAGGCACATGCCCTTGACCAGAATCGAACCCGGGACCTTTCAGTCTGCAGGCCAACGCTCTATCCACCTAGTCAAACCGATCCCAGCTAAAGTAGTATTTCTTTATTTTTATTTTGAAAGCATATTTATTAAAACTGGGGACAGTGAAACAAAGGAAGGGCTTAGGATAAAAGAAGCAACAGGAGACAGCCTAGGTGGGTGCTCTTCCTTGGCTTTCTAGAAACGAGGTAGGAAAGAAGTGAGCCATGCAGGACTGCTATTTTATTGCTCACTGAAAAATTAGAGACACGTTAAAGTGGTAAGCCTGGGATGAGTTGCCGCTGCCCATTGCTCACTTGGTTACAAGTCTTGCAAGTCTCTTGGGGACCCTGAATTTAGGACAGGAAAGTAAAGATGCATGCCTGAGAGGGAAGAAAGGTGTGGGAATGCTCCAGAGATAGCCCTCTCAAGGTGGTTTTATTAATTGGGGTTTTCATAATGTAAATAGATTTTAAAAAGTTCCTGTGTATGAGCTTGTGCTTTCTTTTACTTATTCATTATCTGTTATTGGAAACAGTTTGAGGATTTCCATGTGTCAACAAGCAAGATGAAGTCCAGAAGAACGGGGATGCGTGTACATGTGTGTGTGTGTGTGTGTGTGTGTGTGTGTGTGTGTGTGTGTATGTGATTAAAACTAGTGCAGAGAATGGAAGGGAGCTTCCATGTAACTTCTGATTAGCTTTTCTTCAATATTTTTAGCCCTCCAGATTAAAGTGTAAAATTTTGAAGTAGAGTTAACTGAAGCACTCAGGTAACATACATTCTAGTTTTACAAAACGTCTTCATCACTTGAAACATTTAGAAAAATTATATATATATATATATATATATATATTTTTTTTTAATATATATTTTATTGATTTTTTACAGAAAGGAAGAGAGAAAGATAGCTAGAAACGTCAATGAGAGAGAAACATCGACCAGTTGCCTCTTGCATACCTCCTACCTTGGATATGCCTGCAACCAAGGTACATGCCCTTGACCGGTATCGAACCCGGGACCCTTCAGTCCACAGACCGACGCTCTACCACTGAGCCAAACCGGTTTTGGCAGAAAAATAATATATTTAACATAACATGTAATAATATAAATATTGTATTGAGTAGAATCGAGCATTTCCTAATGGGGGAATTGCGGTGCCTTAGGGTCATTATCACAAGCATCATCTATCATTATAGTGTGGGTGTAGGACTGCATTGTCCTCTGGTACTACCAGCTATCTCTGATTGTTGAACATTTACAATATGATTGAAATGATTTAACAGGTATAAAATACCAGATTTTGAAAAACTCTAATTGGCTTCTTATATGTGGCATAATGTTTTTATGGTTCATCCATGTTGTGCCATGTATATGAATATATCACATTTTCCATCATACTGGGAACATGTAGTCATTTTTAAAAATTATGATTTATTAATTTTATAGAGAAGAACATCTGTGTGAGAGAGACACATCTTTGGGTCGCTTCTGGATTGTGCCTTGATTTGGAATGCTATTAGTGACCTCTCAATACATGGGGCAATACTCAATGAACTAAGCCCAGC